CAGCGATTCTGTTGTAAATGGATTCAGATGTAAGTCAGGAACTTGTTTTATCTTCAGTTTATTATCCAAGGTTCACTATGAAAGAAGGTCCTTTGAAATTTCAAAATGTATGTCAGGTGGTACCAGATGTGGAACACAGCCACTGAAACAAGAAAATAACTACATTCTCACTTTAATCACAACAGATTACAAGTCAGTATTCAGAAGTGCACTTTTTTAAATGGTCTCCTATGATGGCTATAAAAATGTCTGCACAGACTATGGCTATCAGTAATAAAACATTTGACTCTTCTTTTCCCATATTCACAGATTCTCCTGTTAAATTTACCTCAGCTGTGCTTTTCATAGTCTCCCTGGTCTCTTTAGTGATGTTCTGTTGCAGTCTTGAATTTACTCAGATTTTACTGCAGCTCTGAATGTTATGCTCTTCTCAGAAATTTATTATTTACATTACAGTGGTTTCTCAGCATAAGAGTAATGATGCTACCAGTGCTTTTAGACTTAGAAGAAGCTGTGATGTCCAATCCTTCTGTGAAAGCAAATTTTGCATTATTATATTAACAATGCTGTATTTAAGAAGTGAGGTAGTGTATGGTGTATTGTATTTTTTGTTAAAGGTGGTAATGTCTTGTGGTTTGAATTACCAATTAAACTTTACCGAATTTATACGTGTTACATAGATATCTTGTTCTGCATAGTGTTTCCTGTTATCTTCAGTATATTCTAGAATGAATTAGTCATGTATATGAAGGTAGTGCTTTATAAACTTAATAGCATTTATAAGCAATTTATTTGTATGCATCCATACTATATGCAATACGTACATATTTTATACAATTAACATTCACTCTTTCTTCAAATTAATTAACGATGAACAAAAATAAAAGTGAATCCTTTAATTAGAAATAGCAGGTAATTGTTTGGTTTATTCATAGCGACCAGGAGTAGTTCCTTTGATCAGAAATACGTTACTGTTGTCAGTTTTTACCCCTATATATATATTTCTCTATAACATTTGACTGGTTCTCGAATTTGCTTTTTAAATTTGGTGAAACAATCTGTGCTTTTGATTCATATTTTCCAGTAAGTGAAGTCCTTGATTTAACATAAAAATTGCTTTGGATAAATCTTTTGTAGTAAATTTTTGTTAGTTTTTTTCATTTTCTTGGTCATTCCTTTCTCCTACTGCAACTCTTTAATTTTGAAATAATGAAATTTTCATCAGTCTGGTAACCTTCTTATTGAGCCATTCATTCTTTTACAGCCTCCATTTGCTTGTCTTGATCCAGCATACCTGCAGTTTCAACCACTTTGCCAATTTGTTGTATGATGTCATGCTCATTGTACTTACTCTGCCAGCACTTCTTGCAATTACATTTTCAAATTCCTCACATGCATCATGCTGATATTTTTTCTATGAAGTTCCACTATTCTGGACCCATTAACTAACATCATATTTTTTCCTAAAATTTCATAATATTATAGAATCCTGCGAATGGGCTGGCTGCATGGGCGTTTTCGAGGTTTTCCCCATGTGTAACATGTATACGAGCCAGTTTCCCTTAGAAAGTCCTCCATGAAGGCATCCCTCCCCTTAGGCAGATAGCCCTAGTGTGCTTTGCCATAATTAAATAAACCAAACCAAATCATAATATTATAACATTGCCAATTGTTGTTATTGCTTGAGAAAATATAGTTATCTGATAATATGATTTGAAATTATCAATCAAATCTTGATCCATTGGTTGAATCGCTGGTGTTGTACTGAGTGATAGGTATATCACATTTATTATTATGTTCAAACCATCCATATGGACAGAAAGAATGTCCAGAGCGCTGTGAAGTAACAAAAGTATGAAATTATGGTTGAAAGTTGAAAGGAATTCTTTTATCTATTTACTTATTTATTAAGACAGTAGGTTCACACTTTTGGAATAAAACAATTTAAGAGCCAAAGTCAAGTTTACCTTACTTAATTTATCCTCGTAAAAGATGAACACAACACATTAACGCTTTTAAAGAACACTTCTGAAATTCTTGAAATCATAACACTTTCCACTTGAAGAATGAAACTCAACTTTCGATTTTACACTGGATATTCCATTAACCAGGAAAACTTGATAATTTGTGATAAAAGGTCAATCAAACACCAGAATGAAGACACAGCTTCACGATAACGGAATTTTATTTTACAGACACAAATAAAAAATATAATAAGTAAATTTACATAGTAGGACTTCGGCAGAATATGCTGGTTCACGCACACACTTCCACACTTCTCCTCTCTCAACTGCTCATTTTGGCGAAGTTCTTTTACTGTGCTTCTGCGCCAAAGTCTACATTTGGCGAAATTCGCATACTTGGCGATTCTATTAGTTTTTTAATCTTGCACATCCCTCCTTGGGAAGCGTATACGTCTCCTTAGAGACCATACGCACAGTGAAAGTCTAAGATCATTGTTTATGTATCTCTAAATTATAGTAAGATTATATCAGTTTCACTGTACATGTTTCAAAGTATCTGTTTCATTGTGTCTCTGCATACACTTTCAAAGTACTACCCTAAATGTGCCATTAAGTTGAAGTATACAAATTAGATATACAAAGACCTTTACATACACAATACTTATATATGATAATATAACAAAATTCTTAATTTTATATGTAACACATTTACATCAATGCAATATACTATGTTAATTATTCATACATATGCAAGTTTTTCTAATACAGTATACAACTATCATATAATATGTGTATGTTTCTATAAAATGCCAGACATTATATTACCATCTAAACCAGAAATTAACAAAATGACACAGTAACTGAAATTATGGTGTGCAGGAATACTAAGAATTTAATTTCTTACCTCTTGGATATCTGCAGGTATCTAATGATTTCTTCATCCTATGAAAAGGCTGCACCAGTAAAGTTTACCTTTCTTAATTTATCCTTGTAAAAGATGCACACAACACATTAACGCTTTTGAAGAAACACTTCTGAAGTTCTTGAAATCATAACACTTTCCACTTGAAGAACAAAACTTAACTTTCAGTTTTACACTGCATATTCCATTACCTAGGAAAACTTGATAATTAGTGATAAAAGGTCGATCAAACACCAGAATGAAGACACAGCTTCACGATAATGTGATTATATTTTACACACACAGAAATAAAAAATATAATAAGTAAATTTACATAGTAGGACCTCAGTAGAATATGCCGGTTCATACATACATTTCCACACCTCTCAATTGCCCATTTTGGCGAAGTTCTTTTACTGTGCTTCTGCGCCGAAGTCCGGGGAAATTCGCATACTTGGCTTTTCTATCAGATTTTTTTTTAATCTTACAGCCAGTATCAAAATAAAATGACTGTCATCGAAGCTTTCTCCAGTAGTAAACTGGCAATTTATTCTTCAGTGATAAACAAAAATGATTTTAATTTAAAACCAGCATAATTTCCTTGAAGGAGAAGCATAATCTTATCTTTAAATAGTTTAAAACTAAGCTGTGATGATGCTGCTCTGCAGATTTAAGTTCATTCTGACATTCTTTTCTGGAATTAACTAGCTTTTATCTGCATTACATCTCTCTTCATGCAAATAACCTTCCTCTTTTAAGGCTTTTCTTGAAATTTTCAGCAGCTTCAGCTGTTATATGTATATTATGTACATAAATTATATCAACTTTTGAATTAAATCTACGTCTCCTTAGAGACCATACGCACAGTGAAAATCTAAGATCATGCTTTATGTATCTCTAAATTATAGTAAGATTATATCAGTTTCACTGTACATGTTTCAAAGTATTTGTTTCATTGTATCTCTGCATACACTCGCAAAGTACTATCCTAAATGTGCCATTAAGTTGAAGTATACAAATTAGATATACAAAGAACTTTACATACACAATACTTATATATGATAAGCATGAAAATTAAAACATCACTCTGCCTGTAAAGTCTGCTATGTAACCTTTGCTATTATTTGTTTTTCATTATTTAATTGTGCTAAGAGTAGAATATTCTGGAACAGCAAAATATTTGCAAAAAGGCGTGGTGTAGTTATTTTATATCTCCAGAGTACTATATTACTGGTACAAAAATTGCATTTGCTGATGGTAAGCTTAAATTGCAGGATTTTTAATCTTGTCTTGGCCGTCATGCTAGTGTGTTTCTTAAAGCAAGTAATGCCATAGTAATAAAGCAAGTAGTCTCATAGTAGTAATTCAAATGAACATATATAATTATTTTATTTGAATATGTTAGTCATTTTAAAGTTTTGATCATTTGAATTTTTTTCATTCAAATTATTTAATTCTATTTATGTGTCTAGTGCAATTGTTAGAATTGAAGGAAATAATATATAGAAATTATAGTCTAATAATTTAGATAATAATAATTTTAGAAATTAAAGTTTTTTTTTTGCTTAGAATTTTTGTTCTTTGAAATTTTCTTATTTCTTCTTGCTTTTTTTTTTTTTTTGTCAGGAGGGATAATAGTTCTTACATGTTATATTTTTATAAAAAAGTTTTAAAAGACATTAAAATGATATAAACACTTTTATTCAAGAATTCCTCCATTTCTGCAGTATTTTTCATTTATGTAGTTTTCTGTGTAGTTGTCCATTTATGTAATTCTGGGGTTATTTTTTCCATTGAAATTATCATTTCTTGGATATTTTATGGGGAGGGATGGTAGTTGTTACATGTTACATTTCTATAAAAAAGATTAAGTTTGAAAAGGCATGAAAATCATATAAACATTTTTATTCAAAAATTCGGCAATTTCCTCAGTTTTTTTATTTCTGTAGTTTTTATATATGTAGTTGTCCATTTATGTAATTCTGTTTTTTTAATTGTGGGAAAAATTAACTGTATTCTGCATGCAAAGAATAATCTGCTTTAGATAAAAAAATTGCATTTTAAATTGTATTAGTCATATGGCCAATTACATTTTACTTTATATTCAAATTATAAATTAGACGTTTTCTTTCCAGTGTGGCTAATACTGTTAAAAGAGCTTTGCTGATATGGCTCTCTGTGATTACTTTTGGAAATAAAGTCACATTTCTTGGTGGACTGGGCACTACTATTGTGATATTTGGAGTATTTGGATATAATAAAGCAAAACAAGTTGCTCCAACAATCCTCACTGCATCCAAAGGATTAAAAGATGTTCATCTGATATAAATCTGCACAATTTTTATTTCAGAACAAATTTCTCTGATGTTCCTTTTTTTTTTTTTTTAAATTCGTGACATGAAGTCAGTGTTGGACAGATTATTTGAAAACCTGTATAAATACAAAGTACATGATAAAGTGTAAAATATGTTTTTAAGTCCAAATATATTTATATTTTGAAATGCTTGAATAAAATACGTTATTTATATTCTCAGATATATTTTACTTTATATTTGAATTACAAATTAGGAGTTTTCTTTCCAGTGTGGCTAATAATGGTAAAAAAGCTTTTTTGATATAGCTCTCTGTGATTACTTTTGGAAATAAAGTCACATTCCTAGGTGGACTGAGCATTGCTGTTGTGATATTTGGGGTATTGGGATATAATAAAGCAAAACAAATTGCTCCAGCTATTCTCACTCAATCCAATGAAGTAAAAGATGTTCATTTGATATAAATCTGCACATTTTTTGTTTCAGAACAAATTTCTGCTATGTACCCTTTTTGTTTGTATGAAATCAAAGCTTGACAGGTTATTTAAAAAATTGCATGTAAATACAAAGTACATGATAAAGTGTGTTAAATATGTTTTTAAGACTAAATATATTAATATTTTGAAATGCTTTATTTATATTCTCAGCGAGGAATTTTGTAGCTTATTTTTAATTGTATGCAATTCATAATTTTGTAATTCATTTTTAATAGTTTACAAATCACACTTTCAGAATAATGGGAAAAATAAGTTCTGATATTGCATATTTTACATATAAATATTTTAGTTATTTATGCATAAATGTGAAAATATATTTCTTTGACAAATTCCTGTATATTTTTTCAATATTATTGAAAATGTTTTAGTGCAAGCATGCATTTATCGTTTCTTTGCCATATTTATTTAATAATTTAACATTAACTGTTTCTGCCTTGGCACCTATTCTTTAAAATGTGAGTTATTTTCAGTTTTATAAATGCTTTCTTCATTTAAAAGATGCATCTTTTTTTAGTCTAGTCTTAGTTTGAAATTTTTATTTTCATGAAAGAAAAAGTGAGATATGTGTGTGTTTATGTGTATGTGTGTGTGTAATTTGTGGGCTGGTGTGATATGCATATTGTCACGAAACTTACAACGAAAATTCATTGTTTCTGATTTTATCAAACACACATTTCTAAGCTGAAGTTTAATTTAAAGCATTCATTTTTTGGTGCCTCCTGAAATTAATATGAATAAATTCATTTGTACACTGAAATAGATTTCTTCTTATTATTTCTCTTTTGAACATCTTCATATTTGCATGAATATTCAAAATGGATATTCATCCATGCTGTACAGAGTGCTTATTTTCATCTCAAGAAGTTCATTTATTATCAAATGTAATAAGCGTAAGGCCAATAAAGAACAGAAATTCCTCGAGTTGCGTAAGTAATGCATTCCGATTCTTTTTTTGGTTTTCCTTGTGATGTTTTATTTTAATTTTTACATTTTAAAATATTATTATTCTACATTTATAGAATTTGATGAAGTTCATTTGAGTTTAAATATTTGGTCTTTGTGAAAAATTGGTTCTAAATTTCTTTCTTATACATACCTTTTTAATGTTTTCATTTTAAATATGTAAAAGATTCCATTTTAAATATGCTAATGAGTTGCTTCATTTCAATAGAATTATAACTAATTTTGTCAAGGGAGATAATATACGAAATAATTTATTAAAAATACATTATTTGCAGCTTATATTATTTTATAAAGGAAACATCATGCAATAGTATTTATTTGGATATAAACTATGAAAAGTATCAAATATATACAGTGATGGCCAAAATTGTGGACACTTTTGGAAATTTTTATGTTTTTGAACTTTGTATGCTTATAAAAAACGTTACGTTTCACAAAATGCAATCTTGTATATATCATTTTAAAGAGAATTTATTACTGAATTCAATGCAAACACAAAATTCAATTATTTGCAATACAAAAAAAGTTAAATGATAATAGTTGTCGATATACATTAGAAAGTGATGATTGCAATGAGTTATCAGTACTTAGTAGGGTACCCTTTATTTTTGATTACACCTTCACATCAACGTTTCATTGAGCTAACAAGAGTTTTAAGCTCTTCTTTCATTATTACATAATACCAGGAAACAATTATAGCCTCAATTAGTTCCCTTTTATTTGATGGGCACCTCATTCGGACAAGAGTTTTCAAATGGTGCCACAAATTTTCGATAGGATTGAGGTCAGAACTGTTTCCTGGCCATGACAACAATTTAATGCTCTTTTTACGAAACCACTCTTTCGATATTTTGACCGTGTGGCAAGGAGCAGAATCCTGCTGAAAAATAAACGAAGCATTGTTGGAAAAGAGATCTCTGATGGAAGGTAGAAGTTTTGGTCCTAGAATAGTGTCAATGTATTTTCTGGCATTCAGTGTCCCATCAATGACATGAAGGCGACCAATACCATCTGCTGACATGCATGACCAAATCATAACACTAACTGGGTTCTTCACAGTTGCTTGTATGCGGTCAGGATGTTGCTCTTCTCCAAATTACGTCTTACATATTTTCGCCCATTGCTACCGAATAACGATATCTTAGTTTCATCACTCCATATAACTTGTGACCACTGATCATCTCTCCAATTAATGTGTTCCTTTGCCCATTGTAGTCTTTTTTGTTGCTGAAAATTAAGATAAGGCTTTTTTCGTGGAATTCTACCTCTCAGTCCAACATCTGTTAATCTTCTCTTGATTGTTCTTGAACTGACAGAAACACCAGCATCATTCAGATCACTTCTGATGGCCGCTGATGACATTTTTCTATCTTGGAGACATAGTCTTTTTATTCTTCTGTCATCAATAGATGTGGTGCACCTTTTTCGGCCTTTTCCTTCTTTGTTTTTTTATTGAATTTGGCTCCTGATATCGTAAACAAAACTTTCGGACTCCAGATGTAGTCACTGAACCACCCAACTGTCTTGCAATTTCAGCATAGGAAAGGCCACTTTCTCGTAACACAATAATATCACATCTCTTTCTAGGTGTCCAATCTACTCTTTTATTTGATGTCATTGCTTCTTGACTAAATATTAAAAATTTTTACAAAAATTCCTACTTGTAATTGCAGTGTATAAGAAACAGGTCCTCCTTCTACAGAACAAAGCAAAATAATGAATTGTTTCAAGTGTAAACATGATGTCAGCTTCTACTGGCAGTTACTAACATTTGATTGGTTCTCAGAACAAGAACAGTGATTGGCCAGGAAAGCTAGACATTACAAACCACTTCATAACTGTGTTTTTTATTTATATTAAAGTACATATAACTTTTTTGTATTGCAAATAATTGAATTTTGTGTTTTGCATTGAATTCAGTAATAAATTCTCTTTAAAATGATATATACAAGTTTGCATTTTGCAAAACTTAACATTTTCTATAAGTACAAAGTTCAAAAACATAAAAATTTCCAAAAGTGTCCACAATTTTGGCCACCACTGTATATAAAAGAACATAAAGAATGCTGAAATAACATTATTTAAATAAAGTTATTCTTGTGACAGCTAATCTAGCTCTGTAGAGTGAGCGTCGGCACTGAAGTTGGATGGTTTTAAAAGGAAATGCTGCTCTCTGGCTAGTGATTTTAACTTCGCCCCCTGAAGTCCATCGTAATAGCGATCTGATTTTTTTTTTCAGCCTTAATGTCTTGTAATTTGTAATGCATGTAATTTTTCTTTGAAATTGATGTCTATGGTGTTATCCTCTTAAGCAGAACCATTTCATTAATATTAAGTATTTGCTTAAGCAAATATTCCCTATTTCGAATATTTCTACCAGAAGTTCAGAAAATTTACTTGCAGTGCTTGTATCTGAACTTATTATTGCTGCACCACTACCTTAATGCTATGTAGATTTGGGCACTTTTTGAATCATTCGGACCATGCAGCATTATCCTTAAATGCAGGCCTAGCTGAAGGTTTTTCTGCATCCCCAGGTGATTAGAACAGTAAGGGTCACATATAAATTAAACATATGAATAACTGAACATAAAATACATTTACATTTAGCTTTTGAGAATAATTTAGCCGTTTCTCTGTGAAAATCGCCACTGCAAGTGGCTGCTTATGCTATCTATGCTTAGAAGCCTGCATTGCTTTGCCCACATGTCGTTTTCCTTTTTTTTTTTTTTTTTTTTTGGGTAAATCTTTCGGTATAAAAAACCGTTTTCTGAATAATCAGAAAACTCAATAGTATTGGCTTCTTTGTCAGACCTACGGATCTGGTGGCACAAGAGTTTCTCCATCCCTAACATTGGATCCAAGATCTTCCTGCCTAATAATTGCACCCTTGAAAATTAACACAACTGTTTTTTGCATTCAACAATTCAAATTTTATCCTTTGCTACTGTATTTACTGTCAAAATAGGTCAATGTATGTCCTGCGTTGTTGATGATATAGTTTTTCTGTCTTAAGCCATATGAATTATTTTCAGCTTAAAAAATTGCAGATTTTTGTTTTTTAGATTTATTATCAGCACATTTTCTTTCTTTGTTTGCAAATTCATTTTAAAAGTAAATAAACAATGAACAAGTAGTTAAACTAATTGTGCAAATATTGTATGAATGTCAGAACTCTGAAAAAAAAAAAAAAAAAAAAAAAAAGGAATTGCTGTCGTTTCTAAATGAGTAAGTTTCAGTATGAAATTAACGGCTTCCGCGGACTTATGTACCTTCAAATGCACCTAAGTTGGGAGACTACTGGTATAGGTTTAAAGTTCTTTTATTTTTAGGGAGTAGGAGCACATTAGTCAATTAAGAGTCCAAGAAGAAGTATTAATTAGCTGGTTATCAACCAATAGTGGTGTTCTCAATGATAGTGTGCAACTAATTTAGTGAAATGTGTCATACTAGTCATATAATGCTGTCCTTCAAGTTTGAGGGACAAATTTTCCTCTGTACTTCCATTGAAGTCATGATCATCTAAATGGGAATGAGCAATTGATTGCCTCATCTTTGGTAAGCAGTGGATGCCCTACAGTGTTTCTGATATAAACCAGACCAATCATTCAAACCTTATACCCTTACGGCCAGGAACCCAGATGACAGTGAGGTGATGGAAAGCCTTTATCCGCTCAAACAGCTTAATGAGAGAATTGGATCTCCTACGAACACTGCTCATAACGCAGACTACTGACTTGCTATTCGTAAGAACAGCAACTTTTTCATCAGTATTCAGGTTTCAAAAAGCTTGCAGAGGGCCCAAGCGTCACCAGGGAAGATTGAAGCTTCTGCTATCAATGCACTGGCTGACTATCACCGCGGTATCGTCTACAGCCGCAATACCAACTCCTGTAGAGTAAATCTTATATCCTTGATTCACATAATCATTAATCATTATACGGGAATATTACTGTATCTCCGCTTCTGAGAGATTTTTGTTCTGAAACTCGTACTCATTCATTTTAAAACAAGACTTTACATCTTCGGAGAAATCTTGCTCGTTTTTAAAAGTAATACACATATTAAAATCTAGATCAAAATTATTAAACTAGTCTTTTACACACTGGCTAATAGATTTGCGTATCTTGCCCCACCTATACTTAAATTTTTCAAACTATCCGCGATAAGAAAGGCTTCTGAAAGAGCAATATTCTTTATTGAGAATTTAATAACAACGATGCAGCTTTTCGTATTTAAAGTGTATCTATGACATACAGCAACGGAAGAGTGATGCTGATAGGCGCCCCGATGGCCAGTCTTAAGGCATGATTATGGACAATTTCAAGTTTTTTCTTATTACGTTGAGAGGTAGACATGTAAAGAGAACTACCATATTCTGTTCTTCTTCTTATGATAGCATTTGATATGTTAACGAAATCCACTTTTCTTGCACCCCACTTAAGGCTCGCAATGAATTTCGGAACAATTTTATCTACATGGACATTCCAATCAAACCATATTCCCAGTATTTTAAATGATCTTCCGTAGGGATGCTAGCACCGTTAAGCTTTAGATGATTCTCTTCGCTGCTCTTTGCCCCATCAAAAGTAAAAGATTTACTTTTGCCTGGAGAAATGAAAAGGTTCCGCTCATTAGCTCACCTATGCGCTTTAAACAGCGCTCGCTGCAAATTGCTGACTACCTTAGGTTACGAGACATCTGTACTGTAGAGAAAGATGTCGTCCGGATACACGTAACAATCGACATCAGTCCGTTTAATTTCATAGATGTCATGCAGGAAACTTGTGAAGA